GGCGGAGGACCGAGACGCACCGCGGTCCCGTCGCCCGGGTCCTCCGCAGCTTTGCTCCACATCTCCCTGGTCTGCGGGAGACCAGCAGACCAGGGAGACGGGGAGCAAAGACAGTCGCGTCGCGTCTGGGCTTTCCCGCTGCCCGCGTGCTCCACGGCTTTGCTCAGCGTCTCCCTGGTCTGCTGGGGGGGGGGGCTCCCCCCCAGCAGACCATTGAGACGCGGAGCAGCTTTTCTTGCCCCGGAGGACGCGGGCGGCGGGACCGCGGCGCATCTGGGCGTCCCGCCGCTCCCGTCCTCCCGGGTGAGAAAAACCCCGTTCGTAACTGCGGATCCGACATAAGTCTGCCTTTATGCTATTTGGGATGTTAAAGTTATATTAATCAACTAATCGAATAGTCGGTGGAATTTCCATCGATTATTTGATTAGTCGATAAGGGCGCTTCCACTTGGAAATGTAGCAAGAGCCTGCTTGGATGTGCTAGATTTCAAAGGCAGAAGTGCCGCATGGCGTTTCACCTTTTGAAATATACAAAAGCCCCAGTGGGGACACTTGTACATTTCAAAGGTGGAACACCACTGCTGTGCCCTGCCCCCCTCCCACAGAGCTGGAGCTGGATGGTGACCAGCTTTTAAGCTGGCTCCCCCCAGCATGCTCTACTCTTCCCCCCACTCCGCCCTTGCTACCTCTTTCTGAAGGAGGCAATAAGGTGGGGGGGGGAAGTGACTAGTCAACTAGTATGTCGACTATTCTATAAGCTTTTGCTTATCGGATAGTCGAGTAATTGATTAGTTGCTTATATCCCTAATATGTTATTTGCTTTTAGATTTTTATATGCACTACAACCATCCCTCCCATTACATCTCTCTTCCAGGTGCCTCAGGCAATCTGGTTCACCACTACTAACGCAATGCAGTAGATTGATGATTCTGATCGAAGACAGTTGCATTCTGACACATGGATAGTTTTACATACAGCTAGGAGAACATATATGAAAAAGAAAAAAAAACAGATGAAAGATTCTTAACAACAGATCCACATGCAAACATATCCCCTTTTCTGAGAAGAGGATGAATAGTTCTTCAGTAATATGAACTCACCCTTTCCTTGAAGATAAATGTAATTTCCTCTCCAGTTGAATTCTGCTGACAGTACAGACCCTTCATAGTAAGCTGAAATGGTATACAGAGAAGTCTAAAATAACCAAACTGTAATATATGTAACACTTGTAAATTGATATAGAAGCAGAGATGTAAAGGATCTTTGTTAATCTAGAGCAAAAATTAACAGGAGGATTAGAAAGGAACCCTGCTCACAGTGAAGTCAAGGTTAAATTTGCTGATGAATCCAATGAGTGCAAGATGGGTTTCTAACACAGACAAATACAAGGTACAGAATAACAGTACTAGTACAAGGTATGAAAGCATCACACTTGCCCGTTCTAGAAATGTGTGTTGAAGTGAGGTCAGTGTATGTTAACTAGCTTAACCACAATCTTTATGATAGTGCAGATGCACGGCAATGCCTTTTATCTTGATTGAACAGCTGAAAGTTTTCTCTTTCTTTTGGTGAAATGAGTTATCTTGAGTGGTAAGGATGAGAGAAATACAGGATAAAGATGGCATTAGAGAAAAACAAGACTAGATTCTACAGAGGAAAAGACACTTATGTTTAGGGGAATTATTTATAGTAAATTATTATTTTTTTCAGATTTCCCCAGTCCCGCAAGTCATTGTAAATAGGAATTCTGCTACACTTCTGCAAAGTCCCAGTGAAATCACACATGAAACTTCATTCAAATAAAAAAGCCTTGAACTCAATGGGACTCTTCATATATAGAGAGTTATTGAAACATAACTAATATTTGCAAAAGAAGACCCTTTTTCAGTGTAATTACGTAATGACAAATGCTGTCAAATCATACTCATTTCAGAGTTTTAAAGCACTTAAAAAGCAACGAACGGTGCAGCAGCTTAAAGACGAACAAAACATGTAGCTGGGATCATGAGCTTTTGTGGGCGCAACACACTTCTTCAGATGAGCGGAGGATTAAAAGTCCAGCTCCAAGAATAAATAAGAGAAGGTGGGGGAGGGGGAGAAGAAGGCAGGAGGAAAATAAAACAACATCGTGAACTGGATTGTTCAAGTCCCCGGAGGCTGATCAGAGCAATGCGCACCTGCTGGGCTGGGTAAGTCACTGGCCTGGCATTAGCCCCCCAGCTCCGGGCATGATGGGATTTACCGCAGAATCTCAACCCCTGGGGATAAAAGCGGGTTTCCAACCGCCCCCCCCAAAGCCCGAGGGCAGCGAATCTGACGCGCCAGCGCGGGCGGCCCTAGAGAACTGGGGGTGGGGGCGGGGCTTAAGCCCGCTCCTGATTTAGGGCGAGGGGCGGGGCGAGTCCGGGCCATGACGTTAGAAGGCGGGAGGCGATGCCGGGTCTCCGCTAACGCAGGGAGGGGCTGGAGTCTACAGGGGGGCGGGGTCACAAGGCCGGTGCGGATTCCCAGCCCCGCCAGGAGCAGCGATTCCCCCCCCCCACACCCCACCCTCGCCTCAAGTCGCTCTGAGCGCGAGGCTGGCCCCAGTTGCCATGGCAAACCGTGAGTGACTTCCGCCGCCCTCACCGCCGCCTCGCTCGCAGGCTCCTGCAGCAGGGACCGCCGCTGCGCTAGCTCCGCCCCCTCTCAGCCGAACTGCCGCGGCCACGCTGGGACTGGTCAGCAGGAGAAACGCGTGATTGGTTGCCGCAGCTGCCACTCTAGCTGAACGGGTCGGGACCACACTGGAAGCCGAACCCGAAGAGCCTAGGCAGGGTCAGCGCGCTCCACGACTCCGAGCAAGCCTTGCGGCTCCGCTCGGACTACAACTCCCAACATGCAACGTCCCGCCGGCTCCTGGGAGCGCGAGCGCGGGGAAGTGTCTGGGAATTAAAGCCCCACTGCCGCTTCGTGGAACCCCATTCATGCAAATTAACACGGTGCCGCCCACTCTTGGCTCCACCCCCTCTCGCCTGGGAACGCATCTGATTGGCCCCCTCACTTATACCTACTAAACAAAAACCTGCCTTCCCTCTAGCCTCGTTAGGGAGTGGGGAGGTCATACAACCTTGTGTCCTGTGCGCACATGAACTGCTAGTCCGGGGGCGTGGTTTAGCGGTGATTGGCTGCTCTGCCGTACGCGCGGCGGGTAGCTTTTGTCTCAGTATCCATCGTCGCATCGCGATTGGCTAGAGTTTGCGTCAGTCTCCTGAGCGGGGCGAGTTCTAACGGGAGCGGCGAGCGAGGGGGGGGGGGCCAGGGGT